GTTCAAGGAGCTCAAAGAAACTAAGTGACCCAACGAAGGTCACAGGAATGGTAAACGTTAGTGGCTAGACCTTTTGAAGTCCCGGTCCACCTGTAGGCATGATGGTATTTTTCCCATAGCTGGCTTGGCGGTTGGCTCTTTGTTGCCCTCTGCAGCTGGAGAGAGTCAAGGCTTACTGTGTGGTTTTGTGCACTAGCCTCTCTCCCATGCCCTCTGCCCTCCTTCCAGCCCCAGCTTCTCCTGCTCTCTGCTCCTCCCCTAGCAAAGAAGAGCAGGGTATCTGGGCTGCCAGACATCTCAGCTTGCGTGGCTGGTAATTAGCCCTTTGTGTCCAGCTAAGCACCTTTCATCTACCCCACCTGCTGGTGTCTGCTTTCCCCATTAGCATCTCCCGGCTCCTTGCTGAGCCCTCCACCCTCTCTGTGGCCAGATCATCTTGTTTGTCAGAGATGATGGCCACGCAGTGCACAGATGGGGAAGGGCCACAAAGTCTACACTTGCTCACATTTTCCATGGTAGGTGCCAGGCAGCTCTTTCTTATCCCCACCCCAGAGGCAGTTTGGTTTGGGTCACCTGGCTTAAAGGCAGACAGCTGATAGCTAGGCCTCTAAATTTGGGGCCTTCGGAGGCCTAGTTTTGTCTTTCAGTTCTTCTCTGTGAAATGGGAGCTGGCTCATCAGCAACTCTCTAGCTCAATCAAAAAAAAAAAAAAAAAAAAAAAAGGCTAACGATGAGTTTATGGTCTTTAGAAACCTGGCCTCAGCCCCACAGCTCTCTGCTCTGAGGCCTCTAGTATGGTCAGCCAATCCAACGACTCTAGTCTTCTTGAAAACCCTGTTTTCATGGTCTTCATGATTAATTATGTAGCTTGAGTACGGTAGCTGTTTAAAGTTTTATTAAATTTATGTTTATTTGAGTCACATGTAAAATTTGGCCACCTTTCAAGGGCTCAGTTAGCCACCCATGATGAGTGGCCACTGTACTGGACAGCGCAGAGAACATTTTCGTTACAGCAGAGCATTCTCTTGACCACACTAAGCCTTCACAGCCAGAAACTCCAGTATGTTGGCATCTAAATCACATTACTCAGACTGCCTCCTAAATCATTCTAAAGCCCTCTTTAGCCTTCAGTGGGATCATCTCAAGTCCCCAGAATGTCAGGACCTGTTGTGATGAGAGGGGACCTGGCAAAAGGGCACAACTGCGTGAGTGCTGCTCATGTCACACTCAAGATGTTCTTGGAGTGTGTGTGACTGACAGATTTTGTTCATTAGTGTAGGTGGGCACTTGGTGCTCATTGGTTCTGTCCTTGCCATCATGGTGGGCATCTCCCATGTGACACCTGCTTGTGGAGGTAGTGATGGCAGGGATAGGGAGGCATAGGAAGAGCTGAAGGAAACACAGCTGGCTGCTGGTTGCTTCTGGACTTGCCCTGCCAGGGATGAGGGTAGGAGATACCCGTCAGAGCCTCCAATAGCTCCTTCTAAGAAGCCTTTGCTGTTGTTTTGTTTGTTTACAGCCCAGAGAGAAGATGGGGCTCTTTGGGCTTGAAGGTTTAACCAGAAACAGTTTGTTTCTGGAACAGGGCATTTCTTTGTTCGCAGCCAGCTTCTGCTGGGCAGCCCAGGATGCAGAACACTGCTTGCCTGCCACCCCAACTATACCTGTCATGTGTTTGGCAAGTCGGACGACAGAGTTCTTTCTTTTTTTTTTTTTCCATTCCTTCTCCACCCCATCAAATTGTAGCTGCAACCTCTCATTTTTCTGCTGCCTAGATGATTAAAAACCATGACTTAGTGGGAAAATGCTGACCTCCTTGAGGTCAGCCTCTTAAGCAGCTGCTGGAGATAAGATCGTGCTGGAAAAGACTCAGAAACACTGTGCAAGGCTTTCTGTCTTTTCCCTAAGAAACTAACGAGGCTTTTTTTTGGTGCAGGATGTGTTTTGTTGTTGTTGTTTATTTTTGGAGAGAGCTACAGTTCTCAGAGGCACACATTTGTGTGACCTGATAGTAAAATCACAGATGGAAGGGGTAGAATAATATGATGATGAAATATAAGCTTTGTAAAATAACTTTTCTCTTTAATGGTTCCTGCCTTGAGTAGGTCACAGTTCAAAGGTCTTTGACAACTACTGCAGTATCAGATGTTCAATGCTTAGATTGCCCCCAAGACTTAAAAGGCCTGACTGTGGAGCCCTTGGTGTGAAAGCCATTGATTGACATTATTTTCACGACTGTGTTAGGAGGATGACCGTACGCTTGGAGAGTGGAAGCTAGCTTTAGACTTGTAGGGGTTGCTGCAAAGAAGACACCGTGATTTGAACTTTGCTTCTGTCCTCAGAGCATTGTATCACTTCTATACTTGCCAAGAACTTCTTATCCCATCTAGTGTGATAGGAGGCAACTTAATTTCTCTGGAGGAGAAACTGGGGTGGGAGTTTGATAGGACTTGACAGGGGTCATGCAACTGATGTCAAGGGGAAACTAAGGATCCAGATTCGGTGGCTCAGCCCAGTGGCCTCAAATGAATGCTTCATTAAGTCCCATAGACATCTGGGTCCAGGAGTAGCTGATTCTTAGGAATGTGGCCATGGCCGTCATTTTCTGCCCTTAGGAATCTACCACTACCTACTTTGTACACTTACCAGGAAGATGGAGGTTCTGCTCAGCCATGGCCTCATCCATCATCAGCATCACCCTTCATCCATCACCAGCACCTTCTTTCTAGCTTGTAGTAGAATCAGCTGTTCTGCTTCTGCTGGCCTGGAATACTCTCATTCTTTCTGTTATTATGTGGCTTGAGAGATCATAATAAGAATCAAGAGCTTACATCTCCTGCAGCTGTGCTGTAGGCTGTCTTGTGGAAGGTAGAAGGATGGTCCAAGGGCTTCTTTTTAGCTCCCAAGACTATGTCTAAGGTCCAGAAGGATGAGAGTCTGAGCTGGGAAGGTTATGGGCTTCTGTTTTTTGCTGGCCAGACCATCATTCTTGTATGTGAGCTGCAGCCTGTGTCAGCCAATAGGACAGTGGCTCCCTGCGTTCTGTTCCCCCTGGGCGGTTTTCCGTCTGGTAAACTGAAGTGATAATATTAACCCAGATGGATCCTACCTAGTTTAGGATGAGGTCTGAATCTGAAGGCCTTGTGACCTTCAGAGTCTCAGACTCTTACTATCCCCAGGGTGGTAGTGATGTCTCAGTGAAGTGATATCTGATAGTGCTTTGTAAACTGAAGTGTGCTCTCTACTCTTTGGGGAACACTTACATCGCACCTTAGAGCTCATGCTTGGAAGAAGGTGCCTCATAGCCTCACTATGAAAGGGCTCAGCTCCATTGATGTGAGCAAAGGACACTGCCCCCCCGCCAAAGCCTGGCAGACCCAGCCTCCACTCACACTTGTTAGTGTGAATGCACCATGCTAGAGGTACATCAAGGGTAAATATCAGAGTGGCATGACAGGAGACGGTGGCCAGTTTCTCCAGGCCTCCCTGACCTGCCTGGGCCCAGCCCCCTCCCCCACTGTTTTTCTTCTGGCAGCTATTACAATACTTTTTATGAGCCCTTTTAAGTCTTTAACGATGCACACTTGCTTAAGGCTTAATCCCAAGCAATAGGCCTTTATTGGATAAATGGTTAATAATCACTGGTCTGCAGGGATCGGGACGCGTTATGAGGCCCTTGATTCTCAGAAGCCCAGCGAGGCCTGTGATGGGGTCTGAGTGTGCATGGGAAGATCAGACACCCTCTGGGTACCACAGAAGTCGGGAGAGATAAGCAGTTCTACACTCTGTGTATAGCAAAGCAGGCAGCTTCCCAGGATTTCTCCAGATGTCCACTTGAATTTGACTCGAACATACTGTGTGACCTTCAGTGAAGTCTCCTTTCCCCTCTGGGGCCTAGGTTTCCTGTCTGTCAGACAGAGAGGTGGGAAGAGATGGCCTTGAAGGTGCCAAGTGTCAGTGATCTGGTGAGCCCCAGGTTTCCCAGACCAAAGCTCCTCTCTCGTCTTGGGTGTGTCACTGAGGGCTATGAATGGCAAGGGACCAGCAGCCCAGAGGATTAAGTGCTTAGCTACTGGGCAAAGAATTGGGTCAGCTGTAGTCACAGGGCAGTATGTGCAAAGGGAAGCCAGACTTGGCCCTTAGTTTTATAGCCTGGCTCGATGTTTCAGTCAGCACTGGGCAGAACCCGCAGCGGGCATTAATAAGTGAAGCCTCTTCCACGGGACTCTGGAAGGAGATTTGGAGTCTTCGAGGTGTACCACCAGCAGGACATCAGGAGTCGTTCAAGGGTGAAAAAGGAAGGCACCGTGGATGCTGTTCCCAGCTAGCTTGTGACTGGAGGCCTTACCTTGATCTGGCTTTGGCTTTGGTTTGGCAGTTGCAATGAGCTCCAAAAGGGCAGGAGCATGGGAGAAAGCACACCCGAGTTTTAGCCTCAGTTACTTTCAGGCTAAAAGGGCCTGGACAACTAGCTTGCCCAAGCCTAGGATGTTTAACACAGTGTGACCAAGACTTGTTTTTGACTCTTAGTTTCAAACGATGAAGGACCTGGTTGTTCTTCTCTGCACCAGTAATTCTTCTGGCAGGAACGTAGTGTTTTAGGGCCTGCTGTACAATGTGGATTGTAGGTATAAAGTGCTTCTTCTAAAGCAAGGCCTGGCATACCGTGAGTACGTGATTTTTTATTCTTTTATCTATTCTTTTACACCACAAGCAGAGTTACACCCACCCTTTTGTTCGGTGGTATGGTCCACAAATTTTTAGCTTCAGGATTAGAAAAAAAATAGTCTGGCTGAGAGATCGTTTTCCCTAGAACGTACTCCCCCTGGATCCTGTCTTACACCCACAGTGTCTAGAAGGCAGAACATAATCCTTGGAAGACAGCCAGTGTGCTGTGTGTGTGTGTGTGTGTGTGTGTGTGTGTGTGTAAGAAAAGAGCCAAGTTTCTCTTTTCAGATATGTATGTGACCAGATGTCTGTCTTGTTCTTGAAAATTTCAGATCTTTCCCGACCCATCAGACTTTGACCGTTGCTGTAAACTGAAGGACCGCCTGCCCTCCATAGTGGTGGAACCCACGGAGGGAGAGGTGGAGAGTGGGGAGCTCCGGTGGCCCCCTGAGGAATTCCTGGTCCAGGAGGGTGAGCAAGACAACTGTGAAGAGACAACAAACGAAAAGAAGGAGCAGTAGAGTCCCCGCGGGCTCGCCTGGGTCACGCTAGCCTGCCTGCCTGAACTGTGTTTCCCATCGGGATGGAACAAGAGAGTGAGCCGCAATCATTCTGAAAATGTCAAATGAGGCTTCCGTTTTTTTGCACCTGAAAATCACCGAGTCGGTTTTCTTTTCTTGTCTTTTTTTTTTTTTTTTTTTTTAATTCGTTGAGCAATGGAGCCCTCCGACAACTTGCAAAGCTGAGAAAGGAAGCTGCTGAGAACAGGGGTGGGGGTGGGGTGGGGAAGGGGTGCTGCTTCTAAGATCTCTATCTGAACTCCAGTGCCAGAGGCAGTGTGTGTGTGTGTGTGTGTGTGTGTGTGTGTGTGTGTGTGTTTGGGGGCAGTTTCTGGCTAAGGAGGGTGAGCAAATGAGCAAGAAACATTTTGGGCTAAAAAAAAAAAAAAAGAAAACAAAACAAACCGAACACTTTTTAAATTAAAGAGAACTACAGTCAGGAAGTGATTGCCAGCATTTGCTCTGGCTACCGGGGCATCTGACGACAGAGTCTTTATATCTGTAGCTCTGTTGCTCACGGGCACCAGCCTCTGCTTCCAGTTCAAGTATGTTTGGTCACCCACAGAGAACAGGAAACACTGCCCAGGAAGCCAGCTGGAGGGATACACAGGAAAGAAAGAACCCACCTGTCCTTCCCATGGTCTCTGCCCAGCTGCTTCAGGCCCGCAGAGCCCCCAGGGACCTGGAGGGTTTTAAGGCATAGAACTTTGAGCTTTTCTTCCCATTTATACCCATCTCTGCTCCCCCCACCCCAACATATTGGGGAAAAGCCAGAGCACTTCCTGTCCTGGCAGAACATTTGAGGCTGCAGCCTGGACATGGATTGCCTCCTTCTGCTGTGGGTCTCTCCAGAATTCTTACCGAGTCTCCTTGGAGCAGCAAGTTGCAAGAATCAGCCCTCTCAGGCCTACCCTTCCTTCTCCTTTGAGCACAGCAATGAGGTGGATGGTCCCCAGCTCTGCTGTGGGCTATTGCCCATCTGGCATGCAGCAGTGAGGGTTCCCAGTCTGGCTCCCATGGGAGCTAAAAGCAGACCATGTTTCCTGGTTGGGCAGTTGGCTTAGTGGGTTTTCATGCAGGAGTCCGGATGGCGCTGCACGGGTATGCTGAGGTTCCCATGAGGTACCAGGCCTCCAGTGGGGCAGCTGTAGGATCCAGTTTGAGACCCTAGATATTATGAGATCGCTGCTTCTCCTCAGGTTGTTCCTGAGCACAGGCTGGGCTAAGATACAGGGTGCACTGGGGTATCCTTGTAGAACGGCAGCCTTTGTCCCTTTGCCACCTTACCTGTTTCTGGAAAGGGCAGCAGTTGCATGGGGAAGTTAACATCTGGACTTACCCTCAGATCATAGCTCAGAACCTTCTGGAATGGCAGGTTAGAGGACAGAATTTTCAGAGCGGGACTGTTTGATCGAGAGGTGGACTTCCTTGGGCTTCACTCAGCTAACTGAGGCACTCCATGCCGCCCCCTTCCCGCCCCCGTGTCTCTGTCTGCCAGGTTGACCCCCATCTTTGGACTAGTGTGTGTCTAGCTCTATTTAATACCTCAAAGTCAGTGTGGCTCTGAGGCACGTTGGGGCAAGAGCGTAGGGGTGAGCTGTTGACGCGGCATTCGGCAAGGTCTGGTTCTGGGATGCCGATGGTCACCCCCTCCCCCTGCCTCTTCCCTCTGTCGTCTGCCTGTGATACACACCGATGGCAATAACTTTTTCCGGCTCCTCGCGGAAGTGGGAGAGGGCTGCAGCCAACCCCACTATGGGGGAGCTTCTCTCTCTTGTTCCCACTCTGCTCTGTTTTGGCTACAGAGATCTGTTCATCCTACTCTCTCTCCTGCAGCATTTCTCATCCCTCGCCTCCCTTTTCAATTCCTGTGTTTTGGTGTCGTCTCACCCCTTATCCCAAATATCTGTCTTGGTCTTGCCGTGTGATGGGGACGTGCTTGTAAATCTAGTATCAAACCTACTTGTGTATATGTGTGTTTATGGGGTGGTTTCTTCCTTTTCGCTGGTCAAGAGACCACGTTGTACCGTGTGTAGTCTGAGCAGGCCAGGGGCTGACAGCTGACGTCAGTCCCCTCAGCGGTTGAGCCTGTTGGGGGGCGGGCACCCAGCTGCTCTTGGACAAGTGGCTGAGCTCCAATCTGGCCTCCTCTTTTTTTTTTTCTTTTCTTCTTCTCCTCCTCCTCTTCCTTCTTCTTCTTCTTGTAAACTTGTGTGTATTTCTAACTGATCGTATTGAAAAAAAAAAAAAATCCTAGTATTTCAGTGACATGCCTGTTGTGAGATGAACCTCCTGTGACTTCTGTCTGTTCTGTTTTGAGGCTCAGGGAGAAACTAGCATTTTTTTTTCCAAACTACTTTTTGTCACTGTGACAGTTGTAAATAAAGTTTGAAAATGCTTTCCATTCTGTTTTGGGTTCCTTTCATCCCCCCTGTTCATTCAACAGATGGGATGGAGCCGGCTCAGGAGTAAGGGGACACTGGCTGGAAAGGTCTCCGTGAATATCTCCTGCTGGCCCCTTACACTATCTCTTCTCAGGGGACACGACTGAAAGCCTGTTCATCCAAGTCCAGTGTGGTGAACTGATGAGTTTATTGATTTTTTTTTTTAAACAGAAACATGAGTGACCCTGAAGTAGGCATATTACTGAAAAGTCTCATTCTAGAATGATTGACAGCTTCCTCAGCTGAATAGACTCAGCCCTCTTCATTTAGCTTCTCACGCTCTGTGTACTCCAGTACCACCACTGACCACATGCAGCTGGAGTGGAAGTACAGAAAACTGGGAAGGAAGCACAGGGCCGGGAGAGGGTGTTTGGAATCTAAGAGAAAGGTATAATGATGGTCTTCTTCCCTCCCTCTGTGAAGAACATAAGCAAGCCTGACCTTGAGGGTCTCTCTGTGACCGAAACTGCTCCAGGGAAGGTGGTGGTAGCTGTTCTACTCAGAGGGCAGCATTCTACAACGTGGCCTTTCCACTGGAGTTCATCTAACACCTCGATGAATGGAAACAGCCACTCCTCTCTGTTAGCCGTTCTCAATTCCTGATGTGTGTCAGAATCCTTTGGAGAATTCCACAAGCTAATGCTTGGCCCCTGCCCCAAGAAACCTGGATTTCAATAGTTTGAAGTGGACTGGGCAGCTTCATTTTCTAGAGTCACTTGGGGATATTTTTAACATGAACCCAAAGATCTGAACTAACCTTTTAAAGGAAGAGAAGCTCATAAGATGGGGAAGGGGCTGCACCTCGATATGAGAATAGAGAAACAGAACATGGCCCCAGCCATCCATGAGTGCCCACTGCTCACAGTAGAAAAGTACACAATCCAGCGGTGGCCCAGGCTCTCATGGTTTGTCACTGTGCTGGTGTCAAGAAACAAACTGAGTCCGAGGTCAGGAAAGGGCTGGGTGCTCTGAGAGTGGCCATCATTAGGTTGGTGGCAACATTAGGAAGGACCTCCCAGGAGACCTGACAAGGAATTGGTCGGATAATGAATAGCAGAGAGGTTTAATGTGTGTGTGTGTGTGGAGGGGGAAGCTGCACAGAGAAAGGCTTGGAATGAACTTGACCAGCATAGGCGGAGAGAAATGATGTGCGGAGGACTGCTCAGGAATGGGAAAGTTTGGGTTTCATTCCAAGTAGAGGATCCATATTTTGACATGTTCTGATTCAGTGGTAAAGAAATTGGAGGAAGGAGGCAAGGAGAGGCTCTCAGAGACCAGAAAAGGCTTTGTGGATGCCAGAGGGAAAGAAAGTGATGCTTTATAGAAGGATTTGTTTGTTTAGCATTTTCTACCCTGACGCTGTGTATCTTTGCCTTCAGTAAGCCTTCAATTAGAAACAATCACATGATCTGTGCTGAACTGTCATCAATACTAATGGAATATCAATCCATACAGACGTTAGCCATAATGAAGCTACCAGATCAATGTATAGATTGCCCTGAGGGTAACTGGAAAAATCCATCCCATCTCCATGTCAGATTGTCTCTCCAAAATTCTGTAGAGTTCGTCTAATGTGGACTTCTTGAACACAAACTCTCAAAAGTCTCTCTTTACTTGCATATGACAACATATATGTGGAAAATACCATGAAACTACAAAAAAGGAGAGAGAATTGATATATAATTTTTGCATGGTTATAGCACCTCAACTCAGTATATAAAAATTTATTGGATTTCCATATAGCAATAAACAACTAGAAATTTAAATTTAACTAGTATAACATTTATACTAGTATCTAAAATATATTATTTAGGGATAAATGCTAGGTTTATAAAACTTGGGCAACAAAATCTACAAAACTGAGAGAAATTGAAGAAGTCATATGTACATGATAGATACACCATGTTCATGGACTCGAAGACTTGATGTAATGAAGTCAGTACTTTCTTGGTTCAATTATAGATTAAAGACAATAAAAATCTCAAGAAACGTCTTTTCTTAAATACTGATGGTCTATCAGATGCTGACATTTCTATAAAATTGCAAAAGATCCAGAAGGGCCAAAGCAATGTTAGAAGAGAAAACTTTGAAGACTGCAATTCTTGATTTCAAAATGAATCAACAGCCATGAAGACAGCACAGTATTTGCATCAAGATAAACAAATAGATTAATAAGAGAGATTGGAGTCCAGAAATCAGCTGACATATGCCAAATGATTTTTTTTAAATAAAGGTTCTAAGGCAACTCAGTAGAGAATAATAGTCTTCTCAATATCTGTGGCACCAGTGGCTTTCTAAAGGTCCCTAGATTCTGGTCACAGAGCCCTGACTCTTCTGTCTCATGTGACCTTCTAGAAGATGGAGTCTTTGTTTGAAAATAGCTCCTTTATCCTTTCTCACGGCTGGCACATCTCTTCAACACTGTCCGACTTTTCAAACCTCCTGATGGCTGAATGGTGACTGGCAAACTTGGCTGTGTTCCACAGGCTGATAGAATTTGGCTCCTCCATTTGTATTTTGGGCCAGTTTCTTACTGTCTAGACTCCTCAGTGTGTTCTTGCCTGGAGACTGGAGACAAGACAGGCAGCTCTTGCACAGGAGTGTGAAGCCTAACACACTTAGCTGACCCCTACACTCAGGAGTTTCTCTACCCTCCTTTTGAATATCCTGTGGCTAACAAGTAGCTCCTATCTTCTGGGCCCTGCTTTTTTTACTCCTTTGTATACACAGTTTGAGAGTAACCTCACAGCAAAATGCTCCTCTCCCTTCAAGTGCAACTCCCACCCCGACACCTTTCATTCATCATCCTGAGACTGGAAAAGCCATGAGAAGTAGGACATTTTTAAGCTTTATTATTCAGTATCTTGCCAGTTAGTGCATTGCAAAACTGCAGGTGATAGAGTGTGATCATAGAACTCAGGAGGGTCAGACATTCGAGGACATATTTAGTCTACGTAGCTACTGATGGTTGAACTTGGTGTGAACAGAGGAGAAAAAAAAATCCAGGGGAGGGATACAGTGAGTAGAAAGGCCCTGCAGTAGAATTTGAGTTGGTCTTTTTGAGACATGTCTGTAAGGAAAGAGAAATGTGGCAGAGGGGGAGGAAGGGGGGCTCAGATAGATACCACATGTGGTGCCTGTGCCTCCTAGACGCTATGGACCTGCCGATTTAGAGTTGTGTGACCCTCTGTGAGCAGCTGCATCAGGCAGCTGTAGACATCTACAGGTCTTCCCAGCCAAAACCGAGCAAACCAGTGGCCTATGTTGGCAATGTGCATGGACCTGAGGAACTGCCCCATCCTAAAAGGGATCCTAGATCTTCAAAGAAGAATGAAATCAGGTAAGATTCAGTGGTTCATCTGTCCCTAAATAACTCTGATTATGACCAGAATGTGAACTCTGTTATAAGACTGCTGGATCTTTAGATCAGCCCTTCCTCTTAAAAGCTGTTTGACCTTAAGCAAGTTACCTTTTCTTCTCTTTGCTTCACTTCCCTCACTTATAAGCCATTATGGATGATGGCTGGGATAAGCTTAAATGTGCTACTAAAAGTAGCTTGCTTAGAACTGCACAAGACCCTAAAGAAATGCTTAAGAGACATTAGCTATTGAGACAGACAGAATAATGTTCCCAACCCCAATGATGTGCACATTCTGGTCTCAGGAGCTTGTGAATAGGTTATGTTACATGGTAGCAAGCAGGACAGGATGCAGATGGAATTAAAGTTGCTAGTTGGCTGACTTACTTCTGAGGCTCCTATACTCTAAGTATAAGGGTGCTTTCACTGAAAGAGGGAAAAGGAGGATGGCTAAGGCAGCAAAGTGCTTGCCTTGCATGCACCAGGACCTGACTTTAATCTTTAGGACCCCTCCAAAAAAAGCTGGGTGTACATATGGATCAAATATACCATAGCCCCCTCTCCTAAGGCCTAGAGACCATTTCAAAAGAGGGGGAAGAAAGACTGTAAGAGGTAGAGGAGCCCCCAAGCCAAACAGTATTTTCTGGACATGACTTCTGCACCCGTGAACTCACAGCAGCTGTGGCTGTGTGTATGAGCTGAAGCCAGTCAACACCAGCATTGGTCAGGGAGTGAATCATGAACTCCTCCCCTCAGCATGAAGTGGGAAGGGAGTGGAGAGGAATGAGTAGATCTGGAGAAGGTAGGGGCAGGGCTGGAAGTGAATATAATAATATGCATGTAGGAAATTCTCAAAGTAATTATATATACATGTATTCATATAGATATAAATGTATATTAAGTTGGGTGTACTGGTGCACATGTCGTTCCAGTGGCTGGAGGGCAGGTGCAGGCAGATTCTCTGACCTCTAGAAGTGTAACATGAGAGTGAATTTACTTTGTTTAAGCTACTGACTCTGTAGTATAGTCACAGCCACAACCAGAAACTAACACATCCCTGGCCACCTCTGTGTGGCAGTAACAAAGTTATGGACCTTGTCTGTGTGGCTTCGGAGAACAATGAGTGGACAGAGGCCCTGACTTCCTCAGGCTCAATGTCTTCTGTCCCCAGGCAAAGACATCTGTTGGGTGGAGGGGCTCTCCGGGGCTGGGACTGGGTTGCTGTGGGGACCATAAAGCCTTTGCACTAGACACTGGAGAATCGGTGACCTGAAATACTCATTTAATAAACAGCCCTTCCCTCTCATTGCCTGGATGGAAGTCTTACATTGAAAGACCATTGATTTGCAATGCTTCTCTGCCATTTTCTACGAGAAGAAAAACCAGCTGAACAAAAAAACAAACAAACAAAATGAACTTACTCTTCTCTGTGTCTGGCTCCTATTTACAGAGCTCTGGCCTCCCTCCATTTCTTCTGTTTCTCACCACACTTCTGCAAATTGTGGCTTTTTTATGTAGGAAATGATTTTGTTTCACACAACTAGCAACAATGGAGATGATAAAAAACAGCGGAATTTGAGGGCTTCATCTTTCAAATCCCAT